AAATGTGACATAATACTTCCATTGTTATAAACAAAGTACAGCCAGTGTATAGCTGTACTTCACAGAAGCTGATACTGAAGGAGTTAAGCAGTAATACATTATTAAAAAAAAAAAAAAGAATCAATATACTGCCAATTACTCATAGAGAATAAGACAAGCATACTCAAGTGCCCCCACAGGAGTCCAGAAAAGTAATTGTGAAATGATAAAAACTAGCAGCAGCTGAAAGGCAGAAAAAGCTACATCAATTGAGCATGACAGAGGGAGAAAAATCCATACTTTTGTGATATGCCATGAGAGACTCTAAAACATGCAATTAGTCATTTTCTCTTTTGTGAGCACAGGCGAAGCGTTCAAACAGAAAGAAAGAAATGTATCTATTATTAAGTCACAATTTGGCTTTCATCAGCCATATTATCCGCTCTATCTGAATCCAAACTTGCAAAAGCAATGAAGTGATCACCTTAAACTGCCTATTACTCTTCTCTGTTAACAGCTGGCAACATTTAAAACAAAGCCCTTTAAACATTATTTGTTTTATTCAAATTAGGTAACCTCAGTGAAGAAGCTAATAATAAGTAACAGGAGAATGGGTGAATTACAGCTTAAAACTGCAGAATTTATACTGATCAAACAAGTGCAATTTGCGATTTGAATATGGTTGAAAATATTGGGTTTGCCTATATACTGGTTTGTGCAGTGCATATGATGGATTTTGTGATTCTCCATGGACTGAGCAAACCTGCATTCATATAGTCATGTAAAATGAAATATTTCGAGCTTGTTAACTTTTCTTGTTTGCAAATTGATTAGTTCATCACAAGGATCTGTCACCACATCCTTTATTCTGGTTGGTAGCAATGCCTGACATACAGAAGTGACAGACTGCAATTCCCCCCACTCCAAAGATTTCTTAGTAATTTTGCTTCAATTTCCAGTTTTCCATCCTATATCCAGTGTTTTATTTTTTTATTACAAGCATATTTCTCTTGCTAGAACCTACAGATTGACAGCATTGAATAAACGTGTCTGCATTTGAGGGAGCTTAGGGGGTTAAGGGAAGCGGATAACTGGGAGAGGGGAACCAAAGTGCCACTTTAACATGCATTGCAGCCACATTAGGATGACACCTATCATATATTTGTTACATGTTCTCATTCTCGTAGCAGAATAGTTCAAAATAGCTGCTAATAATGATTTTAGATGCTCTTTTCTCATAACGCCAGAGCTGAACAATCGTATTTAGTTCTCTTTTTGAGGGGCTGTGGAGCTGCGTTTGCCTACAGATTCCTACATCCACACAAAGAAATTGTATTCGGACAGTGGGGACTCTCCACTGTCAGAATGCACTTATCAGCACTGCAGCACTGATCGATAATAGGATTTTTTGTACTCGGCATAAAACCTTTTTCTCTGAGTTTATTGAAGAACACAGCCAATATCTTGATCTCTGACCAGTGGGTTATAGCGCCACCTTCAGAAGTAGGACACTGGCATAAAAACAAAGGCATAGCCTAGAGGCAGTCCCTGACAGTGGCCACACCCCCACTTGCTCAGTCAACCACAAATCAGTGCATAGAAAAATTGGACAGACAAAACAGCTAGAGGGGTGGGTACTGTGACTTTTAAAGAACTCAGAGAAAAGGATTTATTGGGGAGTACAAAAAATCCTATTTTTCTCTATGGTTCATTGACGGGCACAGACTCTGATCTCTGACTATTGGGATGTCCCAAAGTAGTTTCTACAGAGGTGGGAAACAAACAACTCCCCAGAACAGGCACCAACAGACTGTCCAACAAAAGCCTAAGCCACAAATTAAGATATGGAACCTCCCCAACAGAGTAAGACCCCTGAGCAGAAACATTCAGGGTCAGCTAAATCTAACAAGCAGTCCTAGGGCCTGAAGGGACCAGGGAACTCAACTGGAGTCAGATGCACCAAAGGAAGCAAAACCTGCCAGGAAACCACAAAACACAATAGACAGCTAGTAAGCAGAGGAAATCAGTGGAAACATTGAAACCCGACAGAGATCTGAAGGGATCACGTACTGGAGAGACAGAAGCCCCCCCATCTCCAGCTGTAGGTCACACTCCTCCTGCTGTATACTACTGTTCTAATAAATGTGCTACAAGAAGGCTGCTTGTGCATTGGAGTAAAAAACAAATGCAGCGCTATCCAAAAAAATCTATAAAAGTGCAAATAGCAAAGGTTTTTAAAGTGGAGCTCCACCCAAAAGGGGAAGTTCCGCTTTAAGGCCTCGTTAAGAAATGGCACCTTTGGGGAGTGGGGAAAGCGGGTACCTGAGTCTGACAGGTACACGTTCCCACTTCCGCTGCGATCACCTAGGCGATTGGAAGTTGTCCTACCCCCCCTTCCCTCCCCGTAGTCTTCTGGGACACATGGCAGGTCCCAGAAGATTACAGTACCATTCACAAGGTGCAGAACTGCTCATGCATGTTAAGTGGGCAACTGGCTCTGAAGCAGCAAGCTGTCACAGCTGGGTGCCCACATTTAAGATGCCTGTGCAGGGGAGAGAGGACGGCCTGTGAAATCAGCTGCAGTGAGGACACCACTAGATCGAGGGACAGGTGAATGTCTGTTTTTTTAAAAGTCAGCGGTGACAGTCTTCGTAGCTGCTGACTTATTTTTTTACATTTTGGCTGGAGCTCCACTTTAAGGACAAGTAACATCTGAATATAAATTTGCCATTACAAAGAGAACATCCTAGATAATTGTGCTGTGCAACAATTAAAATACAAAATGTGAGAAAAACCATACAGTGCAGTCCAAAAAAATCCTCCAAGATCAAATACCCAGATCCTGTATAAATATGACAATCCACACAATGATCTTCTTATTACATTTTTTTAGTGTCAGAAATATGTGATCATCTTAAAAACACTCTTGCTGTGCCCAAAACAACTCCACCTCATGCCAATCAAACTGCCCACCTTATAGTGGCAAAACTAAAAATGTTATATATTGCAGCTTTCCACTCATTAGATGTGGTGGCTGCATTAGTTTTTTTTTTTTTTCCAGGCTTTTTTCCCCTCTGTTTTCACCTGGTGATCTGGCCAGCAACACACCTCCTGAGAGTGCCCCCACTCTAGATGAGGGAGCACAGGGCGCCTTTTACAGCAGCATTTTCAGTGTAAGGGAGGGAAGTGTTAGCAGATTTAGATACACTAACAAACTGAAGCCAAATTCCAGCTCATATTTCATAAGCAGTTACAACAAACAGTTTTTTGTGGAAAAAAAGTTGTATATAAATAAATAAAATCTGATCGCAGTAAGCACCCTTATAAGTTGTATAAGGTTTATTCCAAGTCTTTAACTGGTTCATCTGCAGGCCAGCTTGAAAAACAACAAACTTATGGGCCAGGACACCAGGTGACAATAAAAGAAAGAAAGCCTTAAAAAGAAAACGAATGCAGCCACCACATCTAAGAAATAGTAAGCTGCAAAATAATAAATGTTTGGTTTTGGGTTTAATACCGCTTGATGTATAAAGGGTTAACTTCCACGGCTAGGTTCAAATGTAGTAACAAACATGGTAGTAAAAGGGTTGATCTCACAATACTCCCAATGGTAAGCAGTTCATGGAAGAGAGCAAGGAAATACATATTAGTGCTAACTGCTAGTATTTATTACAAACACATAGTGCGCAATCTACAACACTTACAAAAAGTTAAAGCATGTAACGTGATAAAAACACCTCAAAGCATTCAGCGAACAGGAAAAAAAACATTGCTATACTTATCTAATATATAGACTCCAAGATAAATACTCCTCTCTGCGTGAGAAAGTCATAGGCTCTACCTTTATGAGTTACGTCCAACAGTTCTTCCTCCTTCTGACAAACAAGACCCCTGCACCAAAAAATGGATAGATGTTTACCCCAGCTTAGCAGACCAACTTCCCCAGAGAGGAGCTTCCAGGAGATAGGGAAGGAGGACTTTTTCAACCCCCTGGCTGGGTTCCAAGGCCTTTGAATCAGACAAACCCAGGTCCTTGGAAAATGATGAGTCGGTTTGTCTAACAAGCCAGGATGACAGAGAAAAGGAAAACAGGGACTGGAAGGAAGCCGAGCCTCGTGAAAGACAACCCACAGGCCTAGGTATTTAGGGCCAAACAAGAGTCGAACAATTCCTAACCAAAAGTCCACGGCTAGAAATGGGCACAGAAATACAAATGGAATTAACAACTGCCTTCAACTGTAACCAAGATGAGCACTAGACACTCTGAATGGAAAGGAAGGTACAGTGCAAAGCTTCCCAAGCTTAGGCTCATAGGAGCTGATCAGACCCCTTGCATAGAATACACAGAACTCACCACCTTGCAAGGACAGGATTCAAAGGATCCGCAAGCACCGCATGAAGGGCAGTCAGAAGATGTGAGAAAACACATCAGGTAGGTCGGACCAAATGAAACCCAAATAGTCAGACAGAATTTTGAATGGATGGCCATCAGCTCGCTATGGAAAAAGGTAGGTATGTCGGCAAGAGCACCCAGCTCTCTACCACACAAGAAAACCATAAAAGAAGAAGCATATTCCCATGAGTCTTTGCTTAATGGTAGCCAGCCAAACATGGTCATGGAAAGTTATGCAGAAGAATTTGCAATAGAAGAGAAGGCTCAGGAAGGAAGACCCCCAGTGAAGTACTATAGGGTCCCAAGAGTTGTATCCCCCACTGGAATGGCAATGTGTCATGAAGCAGAAGTAAAACATTTAATCCTTACAACAAGGAAGCTAGCATGCAGCTGCTGTACAAGTGACCATGCATGGTACTAACCAAACGATAGTTCGATTGTTCAGGAGAGAGTAAACGGAATGAAACCATGACCAACTATGAAGGCTTAAAAAAAAGGCTCATCTTAAGGTCACAACAGGGCTGTTGCATAAACATGCAGTTTTAAGTGCATTTTCATAGCATGTCTTAACCTTTTAACAATATACACCCTAGAGTAAAACATTTACATAAGCAAAGAGGACACTTACTTTTAAATAACCGTCTTTCGTAAGAAGCTTCACTTGTATTTCAGGTGTCTGATTTTCAACATACCTAAAAACAAAACAGTTATTCTAACAAAAATCTATCTGACTGATGTAGGAGCCTCCTTTCCTTCCAGAAAAAAAAGTGTGTTTACAACATACATACATACAGACAGAGCAGTGGCCAAAGAGTTTTGTAGCTGAGTGGGTAAAACCTAATAGGGGTTTATAGACACTAACTCCCCATCACTCAGATCCACTCCCCTTGTGATAGACAGCAGGCAGTGAGAGGATGCCATAGCTCTTGGCTATAGACTCTGCCAACTGGCTCCTGCAAGTCAAGAGAGCACACCTGATGGGATAACTAGTCCCTCAACTTTCCCATCGGGTTCCGCCAACTGTCAGCATCAGTAGTTGCTAGGAGCCTTCAGCTGTGAAGCAGGCAGTGGCAATGGTACTGCGTCTGTCTCTGTACACCAAATTTGAGTTGGCCTTAATTACCTTCAGTTTTGTTATCATGTATTAACAATCACTACAATGTTGTCAAAAGGTCCACTTAATGTACATTGACTCAATGTATTACAATCTTGTAATTTTAAAACTGGAAAACATCTCATAACATTCTGCTATCTTTATGTATATTGATCATAGAATCATCAAAATAGTTTCCTAATGTCAACTGCCAAACTGGTGGTCATTTTTCTTTTGTATGTGCTGTGTATTCCATATGCTGTATGCTATGTGGCCTGTGTGATATGGGCACGGTGTGAGCACTGTGCTGTATGCACTCCTGTGCTGGAGTTTGGTGCTTGTGATGTATGCTCTGTACGGAATACACTGACTGCATAAATTTGGCGCATGTGATGTGTGTGCTCTGTGCTGGGTACACTGGTTGCATGAGTTTGGTGCATATGAGGTGTGCTCTGTGCTGGGTACACTGGTTGTATGAATTTAGAGCATGTGATGTGTGTGCTCTGTGCTGGGTACAATGGTTGCATGAGTTTGGTGCATATGATGTGTGCTCTGTGCTGGGTACACTGTTTGTATGAATTTAGAGCATGTGATGTGTTTGCTCTGTGCTGGGTACACTATTTGCATGAGTTTGGCGCATATGATGTGTGCTCTGTGCTGGGTACACTGGTTGTATGAATTTAGCGCATGTGATGTGTGTGCTCTGTGCTGGGTACAATGGTTGCATGAGTTTGGTGCACATGATGTATGCTCTGTGCTGGGTACACTGGTTGTATGAATTAAGTGCCTGCGATGTGTGTGCTCTGTGCTGGGTACACTGGTTGTATGAATTAAGTGCATGCGATGTGTGTGCTCTGTGCTGGGTACACTGGTTGCATGAGTTTGGTGCATATGATGTGTGCTGTGTGCTGGGTACGCTGGCAGTTGAGTTTGGTGTAAATGCGTTGTTACAGTTTTTGCTTCCCATGCTCCTGAATCTATATACATGTGTATAGTAAGATGATATCTTCTTGTAGCTCTCTATAGGTTACTGTAAGATACCAACATTTGATCCAGCAATTATGCAAGCAGAATCTGACAGCACAGGTTGTAAGAATTTCCTAGTCAAGTTTCATCTTTCTCATATATACAGTAAGGTGGTGCATACTTGCCTCATAAAAGATGCTAAATGACGAATGTTTTCACATTGATTATGCGTTAAGTTCTTCACACGATTCCTCATCTCTGGAAGGTCACAACACAAAACAGTAAGCGGTTGGGAGTAAAAATGCTCTACTAATGACAGCTGCAAGACAAAGCAAAGGACAATTCATTTTCCAATCTGCTTATAAAGAGAGTGAAATAGCAAATACTGTATGTGCAAAAGGATATTGATTAAATTATGTATTGACTAGCTGTAAAAAGAAGGGAGAACATTTTTACCAACAGCAAATAAACAGCTAATGTGATCTCAGATGCATAAAACACTGGTGGAAAGCACAATGCAGAGTTTATAATACAGAGCGAAGCATGCAAAGATCACAAATAAGGACAAGAAAAAATAATTAGACTAATTAAGATTCAGCCCATATTGTTTATGATCGACCCTAGATGTCTGTAATCAGGGTAATTGGAAGATGCTGACAATTAATTGGGAGAGAAAGATTGGTGTTGGATGGCGTTTTTAAGTGAACCTTAACACAGAAAAATGACTTTGCACCATTGTAACTTCCCACCCCCTAATCTAAAAAGCTGCCCCTTTACTGTTGGCAGGAGGTCAGCTGTAAGAATAAGTAATAGGCAGCCTGCTCCCAATAATGTCAGACAGAACGATGGTGGCAGCAGAAAAGTATGTTGTATTCTCTGGGCTGAGGAGTGTGTTAATTCAAGAAAAAAGGTACAATAAGATTCAAAAATAAACACAGGGTGAAGGGAAATGAAGCTCCTCTTTTAAAGAGAGGAAGGATGGACCACCTAATGTCACACTTTAAAAAGTGAAAGATTTTCCAATTGTGGATGCCGACTCTGAAGAAGGAGGCTGGTGATAAATGTTTGTGTGTTGTGTTTGGTTACGGTTTTTAAGGATGGGCATTTTGAGTCAGCAGCCTAAAATATTAATCTACACAAATAGGACCAATGTGCCGGTTTTGCGGAATGCCCTCATTATTACCCCGTACACACGATAAGAAAATCCTACGAAAAATTTAGTGGAACCACTGATCGAACGACTTTCTCTTCGTTGATGAGCAGGATGTTTTAACCGATAACGACATTGTGAACAAAAAAATCCGGTTGAACAACAGTGAAAAATGTTGTTGTTTCACATACGAACGACCGATTTTCTATGCGGTGGTATGATGGTCGTACGAAAAAAATCTATCAAGCGCTATCACACATGAGCAGAAACGGAAGATGACTCGGAAGTTTATGTCCAAGGGATCTTCGTAAACTCGAACAAAAAATCCAAATGTTAAAAGTAGATTGGCCTAATGAGAGAATGAAACCAGAATGATACATATTATATTTTTATGTATCACTATTTATGTATATAGGTAATGTAATAAACTATATTCTACTCCTTGCTGTTAATTGGTGTATAAATTGCTCGTTCTGGCCGGAAGGGCGTGGCTACAAGGTCACATGCACACTGCATCACTTCCACTTGTACGGAAGACGTCAACACTACGTATTGCCCGAACGATTTTTTTAAATTGGTGGGCCACGATTTCGACCAACGAACGAACGCCTCTCAGTTTTCGAATGACTGATCGGTCAATTTTCTAATCGTGTATTCCCACCTTAAGACATAGTAAAGAAAAAGGCAATAGGGTGATGCTCTAATATAATTTGCATATGGTTTAATGGTTGTAGTTACCTGAAGGCCTTTGATGAAATTTTGCACTGAAAAATCGTGGTACAAAAATATAGTGATCAGGACTTGCAAGACTTTTCCACTAAGCTTAAATGGAAAACTATTAGAGATGAGAAGCTGAAAAAAACAAAACAATATACTATGAAAAAGTTGGTCCTGTTAAGCTCTCATGATACAAAAAAAAAAAAAAAAAACTGAAAAAAACAAAAACAGTGAAAATGCTCTGCTATATATGGCACGCGTCTCTACTGTATACATTATACTTTATATTGTATTCTCTTTGTCACTGCCACTATGTTGTCCAAGCTGAGACTCACAATAAAGTATAAATGCTTTGATTGTCACAGACCATTTTCAGTTAAGAAATGGGCACAATTTTGTTAGTATACATTTAAAAACAAATATGAAAGTAGAAAACGTTTTTCAAAGAAAGCCTACTCTTAAATCATCCAATTTTAAAGTATATGTTCACCTTTTAACAAAAAATAATAAATGCACATTTTTTTTTTGCAGGTAATAAAATGTGCATTTATTATTTTTTGTTTGTGGAGCCTCTAAAGCATTGTACCAGTGATCAGCAGATCGCCGGTGCCATGCAGGTCTCCCTCTGACCTGTCATTGTACATGCTTGCTCGAACATCCCAAACAGGCAAGGAGATACTGACAGGAAAGCTCTATTAACTACCACAGCGCTGTGAAGCACCATAACAGCTCACTGAAAACTACAAGCTGACAGCTGCAAAGGCTGCCGTGACTTATAGTTTTCCTATTCACAGAATGCTGTGAATGAGTGATGCGGCCAGGCAGCTACACTTTAACACTGAGACCATGCAATAAATTCATATAATTTACATGAAAGAAAAACTTGTACATAAATAATATCGGAGCTGACATTACTAACCTTTGTTTTCTAGGCTACTTGCCAGGCTGTCATGCTATCGATGATTTTTTTTTTGGTGTCAATATTTTTTAAAGCTCTGAATGGTAAAAGATGTGTTCTGACTTCTTTTTGTTTTACTTCACTGGCTGCATACGTGTTCTGGGATAGTAGCCTGAAAGGTTTTGAAGTCTGGGACAACCAAACAATTCAGCATTTTCAACAGCAAATCATAAGTGGCAGCCTACCTAATGCTCTCAGTGAACACTTTTGTCAAACTAATCTCTTTTAGATCGATCTATCTCCTAGATTGTAAGCTCCAAGGAACAGGGCCCTCACATCCCCCTTGTACTGAACTGTCTTGTTGCTGTATTGTCTCCCGTTATATTGTAAAGTGCTGAGCAAACTGTTGGCGCTATATAAATCCTGTGTTATAATAATCTATCTCTCTATCTATATCACACTACAGTTCCTCTTAAAATTAACACAGTAGTGTTAACAAAAACAGCCTCATATTTAAACTTAAAACTGATTTTCAAGGACCACATTGAGACAGACTGTACCTCAGGCAATTATTGCAATAAAATAATATTTAACAGGAGTAAAGGATGAAACAATCACAGCAAGTATCTTTTGTGAAAAAAAATTACCTTATCAACAACTGTTGCCAAATGTTCTGTGCAAGATAAGGACTGGAAGAGTTCTATGCACAGCAGTGAGGATACAGAATGGGACAGGAGCCTGTGAATTATCACTGGAGACGTGGCAATACCAAATACCAGGACTAATGGCAATTCTTTAATATACCGGCTAGAATAAAAAATATGTTAGTACATTTACATTTCATAAGGAATAAACATCAGCTATATAAATGTTTAACTGGGATTAACAGCATGCCTTAATTTCCCATGACTTAAAGTGCGATTAAACCCAAAGCTGCAATAGTTATCTTTTTTAGGCTTTTTGCCATCTGTTTCATAATCTGGCCAATAACATACTGCCCGTATTAGAGTGTCCCCACTCTGGATGAATGCAAGTGTACAATCCAAATGCATACGTTCCTGCGTTAAAAATGCATGTGTGTATAAGTGGGTGCTGCAGCGACCGCCAGCTGGAACTGAACAGAATCAGCAAGGCAGAATGTCACCACACTGATGATCACCAATATGGGTCCAAAAGTTTTAATGAACGATCACATAGTTGCACTATGTGATCGTTCATTAAAACTTTTGGACCCATATTGGTGATCCTCGGTGTGCTGTGATATTCTCCCTTCCCACTCTGGATGAAGGCGCACAGGGGGCACAGCAGAATGCAGCATTGTTAACCTGGGGGGAGGGTAATGTGAAATATACTAGCAGATTTAAATACACTAACATATTGAAGCTGGGCTCCAGCTAATACTTTATAATCAGTTATATCAAACAGGTTTTTTTTTTCCCTTTTGGGAAAAATAAATAAAAGCACCCCTTCCATTGTTAAATGGTCTGTCTTATCACTGTAAGTGCAAAAGAACTGGTTTTGTTGAAAAACAGACTTACACTGTGTGCACAATTATTAGGCAAATTGTATTTTTTGAGGATTACTTTCATTTTTGAACAGTGCTCTCGGTCAATCCAAAATGTTAATAAACCTCAAACCTGAATATTTAAGTAATGGTGAGGTTTTGGCTTTCTTAGGAAAATATCTGTGTGCACAATTATTGGGCAACTATTAGTGTGCAGAATTATTATGCAACTAAATGAAAAATGGAAAATTTGCCATCTCACTTCTTTATTTTAACCACTTGCCCTCCAGAGGATTTACCCCTTCCTGACCAGGCCATTATTTGAATTATGGCACTGCGTTACTTTAACTGACAATTGCATGGTCATGCAACACTACACCCAAATTAAATTTACGTCCTTTTTTTCCCCACGAATTGAGCTTTATTTTGGTGGTATTTGATCGCCTGTGTGTTTTTTATTTTTTGTGCTATAAAAAAGACCAACAATTTTGAGGAAAAAAAAAAAACTATATTTTTTTACTTTTTGCAGTTAAACATGTCCAGTAAAAAAATAAAATTTAGGCCAAAATGTATTCTGCTACATGTCTACATGTGTAAATTAATTGTTTTACGTGAAAGTTATAGCATTTTCAAATGGCGGTATATATATTGGGATTTTTACATTTTTTTTTACATTTTAGTAATGGCGGCGATCAGCGACTTATAGCATAACTGTGGCGGGCATTCTATCACTGGGGGGAACTGGCTTGGTGTCACTGACATTCCCAGTGACACCAATACAGTGATCAGTGCTAATAAAAAGCACTGACACTGCACTAATGGCACCGGGCAGGAAGGGGTTAACATGTGGGGCGATCAAAGGGTTAACTGTGTGTTGGGTGTGTTTTACTAAGGGGGTGTGTCTGTGTGCTTCACTGTAAGCACACTGCTTTGCATGGCTGTGCTGTGTATAGCCATTTAAAGCAGTGTGCACAAGCTGACAGGGAGAACGGTTTTGTTTAATAACAGTCCCCTCCTCGTCAAAGATCCTCAGCAATAACTGGGCGCCAGTGATTAATCACTGGCCAGGCATGTGATTTTGCGCCCCCATGTCGCCCTGTAGCAGTATATCTGCTATAGGGCGGCGGGAAGCGGTTAATCTGTTAAATTGAGAATAATAAATGACTCAAAAGTTACAAATAAACATTTTTGATTTTTCAAAAAAAATAAATCAGTGACCAATATAGCCACCCTTATTTTCGATAACAGTCATAAGCCTTCCATTCATGGAGTCGGTCAGTTTCTTAATCTGTTGACTATCAACTTTTTGTGTAGCAGCAACCACAGCCTCCCAATGTTCATTATTCTTTCTTCTTTAACGTTTTTACTGGCTAGCCATGCAGTGGAGTACTTCGATACATGCAAAGGAGTATTGTCCTGCATAAATGTCATGGTCTTCTTGAAAAATGCACTTTTTCCTGTACCACTGCTTGAAGAAAATGTCTTCTAGAAACTGGCAGTAGGTTTGGGAGACGAATTTGAGTCCATCTTCAACTTAGAAAGGTTCAACTAGCTCATCTTTAATAATATGGAAGTATGCCAGTACCCCACCTCCAACTTTGCTGGTGTCTGAGTCGAGGTGGAGCTCTGTGCCCGTTACTGATCCAGCCAGGGACCTATTCATCTGGTCCATCAAGAATCACTCATCTCATCAGTCCATAAAATCTTTCAAAAATTTGTCTTCAGATATTTCTTGGCCCAGTTCTGACATTTCAGCTTATTTATCTTGTTCATTGGTGGTCGGTTTTCAGATTTCCATACCTTGGCCATGTCTCTGAGCACTTCTTGGCACTCCAGGTAGGATGCAGTTCTGGAATATGACAACACTGGAGGATAATGGGTTCCAGGTAGCTTTACGTTTGATTCTTCTCAAATCTTTGGCAGTTAATTTGCATCTTTTTTGTCTCAACTTGTTTCTTGCGACCCTATTGACTATTTGCAACAAACCGCTTGATGGTTCTGTGATCATGCCCCAATAACTTAGCAATTTCAAGAGTGCTACATCCTTCTGAAATACATTTTACAATTTTTGGCTGTTCAAAATCAGTTAAATCTTTTAGGCTCATTTTGCCTGAGGAAAAGAAGCTGCCTAATAATTATGGACACCTTGATATATGGTGTAGATCTCCTTAGTGTGTCTCCCTCATTACACAAATACACATCACCTGATATGCCTACATCTCATTAGCATTTAAGTTTATACAGCTTGGAGTTGGACAATATAACAGGGTTTATCAGGTGTCAACACCAAGTATCCCTAATCACAGCATCTGTAAGGTTGTAGAAAGCCAAGTAGGTCAGTACCCACTCCCACTGTTGCCCTGCTTGTTAATAATGTCACCCATGGCTTCGCAACCTAGCGAATTACTGACCTGAAAACAAGTATGCAGACAATAATATCTGAGCTCCTGTCCTTCATACTTGTCTTAGGCGAGTGTCACTAGGCAGGGAAGCCAGGCAGATGAAGACAGCCTGATTGGAAGTATGATCCCTTCACAGAGGTCTGACACACCTCCTGCAAAGCTTATGCTCCCTGGTGTTTGAAGAGCTCTAGCTCTGCCTCAGCAGAAAACATGCTGGATCTCTGCAGAGAGACCACTGTCCTCCTCAGTAGCATGCAAAAAAAAAAAAACATCTCTACTCAGACTGTGGCAAATTTCTATAGAAGGAAAACAGTAAGACTTTGCATAACTTTTACTTTGATGCACTTTGCCTATATTTAACAGATTAAAACTAAAACCAGAATTGGGTTTTAATGCTGGAAAATCTGTTGATCTGAACTGTTATTCTCCTTTAACCTGGAATCACTTATTCTCCTTTACCACTAGCCTACAGGGCACTTATACCCTCTTCCTGCCCAGGCCAATTTCCAGCTTTCAGCGCTGCACATTTGAATGACAATTGTGCGGTCATGCAACACTGTACCCATATGAAATTTGTATAATTTTTTTGTGACAGAGCTTTATTTTGGTGGTATTTAATCTTAAAAAAAACAAAAACCACTGAAAATTTCGGGGAAAAAAAAAAAAAAATGTTTTTTCTTAGTTTTTGTTATAAAATTATGTAAATAAGTGATTTTTCTCCTGATGTGCGCTAATGAGGCTGCAGTGATGGGCACTGACAGGCTGCACTGATGGACACTGATAGGTGGCACTGATGAGGAGGCACTGGTAGGTGGCACTGATGGGCATTGACAGGCATCACTGATGGGCGCTGAAAGGCAGCACTCATATATGCCACTGATAAGCGGCACTGATAGGCGGTCCTGTTAGGCGGCACTAATAGGTGACACTGACTGGCATTGATAGGTGGCACTGACTGGCAGCTCAGATGGGCACTGATATGTGGCATTGATGTGCACTGGTAGGCACTGCTATGTGGCACTGATGTGGCAGTGGCAGGTGGCATGGGTGAGCACTGACAGCTGGCACTGATGGACACTGACAGGTGGCACTGCTGGGGCTACACAGGTCATCAGGGCACACTGATCATCAGTGCCCTGATGATCAGTGCACATGTCCCCTCTGAGGGATGCAGATTACGGCTCTGCTCTCCTCTCGAGCTGTCAGCGTGACAGCTCGTGAGGAGAGAAATGCCGATAATCGGCATTTCCCGATTTACATGTGATCAGCTGTGATTGGACACAGCTGATCACAAGACCGAGCTGACATCTTCGGCTCTTTCCGTTGATCCGCTGTGTCCTAGGGACACAGCTCACAGCCGATCGCCGTGCGCAGTTAGAATTGAACGATGTCATATGACGTCCTCCCAGAATGAGAGAACCGCCTTGCGCCCGTCATTTCACTATATGGCGGGAGGAAGGTGGCTAAACAGAGATAACCACTCTGTGAACCTGAAACAAATACTTGCTTTAGGGCTGCAGTGCAAGATTTTCATTTTTAAGAAATAATTCACTTTGATTAGAATTAAATAAATAAAAGGAACAAATGATCTACATAAGCAGATTTTCTTACATGTACTAGCCTTACCAAAAAAAGATGCCCAAGTACATTAAACTATAATAGAATGTTGCTTATCTCTTATCAAATGAATACAGTATCTCACAGAAGTGAGTACACCCCTCACATTTTTGTAAATATTTAACGCTATCTTTTCATGTGACAACAGTGAAGAAATGACACTTTGCTACAATGTAAAGTAGTGAGTGTACAGCTTGTATAACAGTGTAAATTTGCTGTCCCCTCAAAAATAACTCAACACACAGCCATTAATGTCCAAACAAAATGTCCAAATTGGGCCTGATTAGCCATTTTCCCTCCCCGATGTCATATGACTTATTAGTGTTACAAGGTCTCAGGTGTGAATGGGGATCAGTTGTGTTAAATTTGGTGTTATCGCTCTCACTCTCTCATACTGGTCACTGGAAGTTCAATATGGCACCCCATGGCAAAGAACTCTGAGGATCTGAAAAAAAGAATTGTTGCTCTACATAAAGATGGCCTAGGCTATAAGAAGATTGCCAAGACCCTGAAACTGAGCTGCAGTACGGTGGCCAAGACCATGTAGCGGTTTAACAGGACAGGTTCCGCTCAGAACAGGCCTCACCTATTTTGAGGGGACAGCAAATTTACACAAGCTGTACACTCACTACTTTACATTGTAGCAAAGTGTAATTTCTTCAGTGTTGTTACATGAAAAGATATATTAAAATATTTACAACAATGTGAGGGGTGTACCCACTTCTCTGAGATACTGTAAGTGTGAAATCTTTTTAGACCTGGAAAAAAAAAAAAGATGATTGGTTGGTTTGGGAAACAATTTATTTCTTTTGTAGCACACTTCATTCAACAGTCTCAACATCTCCTTACGACATATAAAGGGTGAGATTACCACTAACCTGCTTATAACGATAAATTCTTGCAGAACCTTAGCGGAGAAGCTTTCAAGATCTTTAAACACCACAACCACCGGAGGTGCCTGCCAATGTCCTGGGGACAATGATCTCTTTTTTTTTGGGAGAAATGGATTTCTAAACATGTGAGAAATAGTGATGGAAATGAGTTAATAAGTAACTCGACTTTTGCTGAGAAAAAAAACAAAAAAACAATCCCCTCTGAGTGATACATTGCAAAGAAAATCCAGGATAACAAGCAATATAAGGATACCAATATCACAGTATATAGAGACAACATTTAAGAGGTTAAACATGCCATAAAGTACCCCCTAGACCAGTGGTGGGCAACCTTTTTTTTCAACTGAGCCAAATCTCGCCAAAACCACGATTGAAATTTATTTTGAGAGCCACATTTTTAAAACTGAAAATACATCCCCCATATAGTAATTCATCCCCCATATAGTAATTCATCCCCCATATAGTAATTTCATCCCCTGTACAGTAATTCATCCCCCATAGTAATTCATCCTCCATATAGTAATTCATCCCCCATAGTAATTCATCCCCCATATAGTAATTCATCCCCATAGTAATTCATCCCCCATATAGTAATTCATCCCCCCATATAGTAATTCATCCCCCATATAGTAATTCATCCCCCATAGTAATTCATCCCCCATAGTAATTCATCCCCCATATAGTAATTCATCCCCCATATAGTAATTCATCCCCCATATAGTAATTCATCCCCCCATAGTAATTCATCCCCCATAGTAATTCATCCCCCATAGTAATTCATCCCCCATAGTAATTCATCCCCCCATATAGTAATTCATCCCCCATAGTAATTCATCCCCCATAGTAGTAATTCATCCCCCATAGTCCCCCATATAGTAATTCCCCCATAGTAATTCATCCCCCATAGTAATTCATCCCCCATTATAGTAATTCATCCCCCATAGTAATTCATCCCCCTATAGTAATTCATCCCCCTATAGTAATTCATCCCCCCTATAGTAATTCATCCCCCCTATAGTAATTCATCCCCCCTATAGTAATTCATCCCCCATATAGTAATTCATCCCCCCTATAGTAATTCATCCCCCATATAGTAATTCATCCCCCCATATAGTAATTCATCCCCCATATAGTAATTCATCCCCCATATAGTAATTCCCCATAATTCCCCCATATAGTAATTCATCCCCCCTATAGTAATTCATCCCCCCCATATAGTAATTCATCCCCCCCTATAGTAATTGTCCCCATATGTCAATTCATTCCCCATATTGTGTTTCACCTTTGTTCCGCGCGTTCCTCTCGCCGTGTTCCCCGCGCCGTTCTGGTCTTCAGGGCGGACTGTGAGAGGAGAGGAGTTCGTCACGCTGCCCCCACCTACATCCTGGCTGCCCCGCCTACATCCTGACAGCTGCAGAGTCCTGACTTTTGGGCGCGGCCGCCCGAGAGGAGGGAGGGGAGCGGGCGCCCGGCACACAGAAGAGCCGCATTTAAGTTTGTAAAGAGCCGCATGTGGCTCGCGAGCCGCGGCTTGCCGACCACTGCCCTAGACAGCTGTCATATGTGACTCAACCCAGATGTCCCCACACCTTTTGGAACATTTTGTGACACCCCCCAGCATGTTAAGCTGCTTTAAACAAAGGAACTACATAATTATTTAGTGATTTCCAAGAGGTAAGAGTGGGGGCAGTAACAGATTTCCATTGAAGCACTATTGCCTTCCGAGCATAAACCAGTAACAGAAGAAGGGTCCTAACCGATTTAGTGTGTGCCAGAGCATTCACTAATCCCAAAATATATCTCTTCTAAAAGAAGAATGCATATAGTGGTCACCTTGAAAATGCACTCCAGCATCTGTTCCTAGTATAGCTGCACAGAGGGACATGTCCAGATCATATGCATAAAATCAGCTGAGTCTGCCATGTATCTCCAGCATACTAGGAGACATTGAGGATATGTTTTGTGACGTTTCCACAAGGTAAGATACAGTATCTCACAGAAGTGAGTACACCCCTCACATTTTTGTAAATATTTTATTATATCTTTTCATGTCACAACACTGAAGAAATGACACTTTGCTACAATGTAAAGTAGTGAGTGGACAGCTTATATAACAGTGTAAATTTGCTGTCCCCTCAAAATAACACACAGCCATTAATGTCTAAACCGCTGACAACAAAAGTGAGTACACCCCTAAGTGAAAACGTCCAAATTGGGCCCAAGGAGTCATTATATGGTGTGGCCACCAATATTTTACAGCACTGCCTTAACCCTCTTGGGCATGGAGTTCACCAGAGCTTCACAGGTTGCCACTGGAGTCCTCTTCCACTGCTCCATGATGACATCATGGAGCTTGTTGATGTTAGAGACCTTGCGCTCCTCCACCTTCTCTTTTAGAATGACCCACAGATGCTCAATAGGGTTTAGGTCTGGAGACATGCTTGGCCAGTCCACTACCTTTACCCTCAGCTTCTTTAGCAAGGCAGTGGTTGTCTTGGAGGTGTGTATGGGGGCGTTATGTTGGAATACTGCCCTGGGGCTCAGTCTCCAAAGAGAGGGGATCATGCTCTGCTTCAGTATGTCACAGTACATGTTGGCATTCAAAATTCCTTCAATGAACTGTAGCTTCCTAGTGCCAGCAGCACTCATGCAGACCCAGACCATGACGCTCCCACCAACATGCTTGACTGTAGGCAAGACACACTTGTATTTGTACTCCTCACCTGGCTGCCGCGACACATGCTTGACACCATCTGAACCAAATAGGTTTATCTTGGGCTCATCAGACCACAGGACATGGTTCCAGTAATCCATGTCCTTAGTCTGCTTGTCTTCAGCAAACTGTTTGCGGGCTTTCTTGTGCATCATCTTTAGAAGAGGCTTCCTTCTGGGATGACAGTCATGCAGACCAATTTGATACAGTGTGTGGCCCGAGCACTGACAGGCTGACCCCCCCCACCACTTCAACCTCTGCAGCAATGCTGGCAGCACTTATACGTCCAAAGACAACCTCTGGATGTGACGCTGAACACTTACACTCAACTTCTTTAGTCGACCATGCCGAGGCCTGTTCTGAGTGGACCCTGTCCTGTTAAACTGCTGTATGGTCTTGGCCACCATGCTGTAGCTCAGTTTCAGGGTCTTGGCAATCTTCTTATAGCCTAGGCCATCTTTATGTAGAGCAACAACTCTTTTTTTCAGATCATCAGAGTTCTTTGCCATGAGGTGCCATGTTGAACTTCCAGTGACCAGTATGAGAGAGTGAGAGCGATAACCCCAAATTTAACACACCTGATCCCCATTCACACCTGAGACCTTGTAACACCAACAAGTCACATGACACTGGGGAGGGAAAATGGCTAATTGGGCCCAATTTGGATATTTTCACTTAGGGGTGTACTCACTTTTATTGCCAGCGGTTTAGACATTAATGGCAGTGTGCTGACTTATATTGATGGGACAGCAAATTTACACTGTTATGCAAGCTGTACACTCACTACTTTACATTGTAGCAAAGTGTCATTTCTTTAGTGTTGTCACATGAAAAGAATTAATAAAATATTTACAAAAATGTGAGGGGTGTACTCACTTTTCTGAGATACTGTAGATACAATGGAATAATTTAAATGGTATAAATCTATCTCTTGTGGAAACTAATCGCTTGAATGGGCCATCCCAAATATCCTCCCAATTTTTTGCTCTTAAAAAAAGTACAGTATCCAGACAGGAGAATGGCAATGGTAAAATTTTTATCTTGAGCAAATTTATACTGCCTACCAGGGACAGAGGGAGATTATCCCAGGCTTTGAAACACAGTTCAATGGAAACTCGGAGTGGATGTAAATTTAAGCTACAGAAACCCTCTGTTTGCTGGGAAATTAGGATGCCTAAATACTTAAGTTTGTCGGTCCACTTCAAGGGTAAGGTATGGTCCACAGCTCGAGGCACCTCCGGGTCCACAGGGAGAATCAGAGATTTATCCCAGTTGACTTGAAGCCCAGAGAATGGAGGAAATTTAGATAAAAGCTCAAGAGGCACCTGAAGTAACGGACCAGGGTCCCTAAGGAAGAGTACAAGATCACCGGCGTTCTATGCCAGCTTTTCTTCAATTAATCCAATACATGTACCCTGCACCGGCGGGGCATGTTGAATTTTTCATTATTAAAGTGGTTGTAGAGTCTCAAGTCCCATCTCGATCCAGTGATGTGCACGAGAGCCTTGGCTCTCCCTCCTCACTGGCTGAGACAGTAGCGGCAGCCATTGTCTCCCTCTACTGCGCCGGACCACATTCCATGTGTCAATGGAAAAACAGAGCAGTGGCTCAGAAGCGAGACTGCTCGGATGTCCACATAGCAAGTTGCTTTTTATAGGGGCACTTGGCAGGAGAAAGGAAACAGGAGCACTGGAATGGAACCCAAGAAGAGGAGGAACAGGGATGCTCTGTGCAAAACCACTGCGTCTCTGTAGCTTAAGGTAGCACATGTATTTTTGCACTGCAGCACTTATAAAAGGTGCTATGCATTTCAAGAACAAAAAACACTTTGAGCATTTTAAATTCATTGCATGCAGCACATAAAGCCGTGAATAGCTGGTTTTTAAGGATGTCATTGGGGCCAGCTTCATAACAACCAGCTTTTCATTGGTTAAGGACACCGGCAGGTGGTTGTTAAGGAGCTGGAACCCAACGAAATCCTTAACAAGCAATGATAAAGCCCCCACCCCCGTTGGTCACCATGCACCAGCTCAGGAGCTATGCTACCACCAGAGGGGGGAGGCGGAGTGGCACAGTAAGGAGCATCAGCTCCCAGAATCTGAGGGAGGAGGTGGGGGAAGGCCGGACCGGAGGAGAAAAGGAGGCAGTGGAATGCCAGCCTGAGCTACTGGGGAGCAACAAGGGGGCAGGAGGCTGTGCGGGGGGCAGAGTTTACATCCCCGCTGATCATTAAGGAAGCCGCCATGTGCTGGCTCCTTAACAATTAGCTATTCACTGGTTGTTAAGGACGCCACTCCTTAACCAGCAAAAACTCATCCGAGGTGTGTTTTTTGTGCATTTTTGTTGCGGTTCCCATTGATTTCAATGGGAGGTGCATTTTTGGTGCGCTTTTTAAAAGGGCACCAAAGATGCAGCATGCAGGACATTTCAAACAGCAGCGTAGTGATGTGAAAAGTCTCAAAGGCTTTAAAGGCAAATCATTTATGATGCACTTTTGTCCCGCTGGAAAAGTGTATTCCAGTGCAGCAAAAGCGCATCAGTGGGAAAGGGGTCTTACTCTAACAGGAAGGAATAGACAGTTACCTTTGTAGCCTTTTGATACCAGCTACACAGAGATGCCATAGAGCAGTTCATTTTCCTCTGAGACACTGCTGCATACTCTTCCTCTTCATCAAGGTCCAAGTCTGCACTGCATCCCATGAGTTGTGAGAGCAGTTTCTGAAGCAGATACTTGATTCCTAAAGGAAAACTCTAGATGAAGGCATATTTCAACAAAGTGATGTATGTAATAAAATGATTTTAAATAAAAAATGGCCCCTGGAGTTTAATATCTGAACCGTTTACATCTATGACTTCTAAATATAGGACTGACACAAGATTTCAAACGCTATTTTGTGTGATGTATATACTCCAAGGTTACATTCTATAATTCAAACTTATTGTACTGGTCACATCAAAATGTATTATTGCTGAAATAAAGTACATTTCAAGCACTATTAAATTCTACCTTAAATCACACAAACATCAAGCAACTTTTACCTGGACATTCCTTGGCTTGCAGTAAGACCACAAATGGAGTAACCTGATCATTAAGAATCTCTGAGAGGCTTTCAAATGTAAGCTCATGGTCGGTGACGTTGACACCTGGGAAAGAAAAAGAAATTACACCAGGTAACAACTAAGACTAACGTCTTGTGTTTCACACAGTTTGCTGGACAGCACATGATAGAGAGGGATGGATGCAACTTTTTCTGGTTAAGGAATACAGTGGTGTCAGTTCCCCGACTGCAATCTGATGACTAGACAATGAAGGAGTAGATCTGTTCACTATGCTCTCCTGTCAAAACATGTAGCAGAGCCTTATTGGCTCCTAGCTCTGCCCCTCCCTTTCCCAGTCTCAGTGCTGCTGTGTGGGGGACAGAGGTTAATAAATGTCTGCCTAGAATCCAGGTTTAGAATTTAAAAGAGAAATATGTTTTTCTTCAAAAAAAAAAAAAAACCCACAACAGTTATACTTACCTAGGTGGATGCAGCATTGATCCAATGCTGCATCTGTCCCCTGCTGCCTCTAAAACGGAGAACAGAACAATCACAAAACGCTGATTGCCTGGTTCAAGATCTTCGGTCTGCAGAGATCCGGTGACTGTCCGTCAACAGCTCTCTGCTCTGCCCCTCCAGCGGTCAATGGAGCACCAGACTATAGAGGGGGAAGAAGCGACTGGCTCAGGCTCTCAGTGGCTTGGTGAGAGGCTGAGCCAGCTGCCAGTCCAGGCCTCTGGGTGGAACCCAACTTTAAAGTTAGGATCGATCCAAAGCCTGGAACGGCTGAGTGACATCACAGGAGTTCAGAATGAACTGCACTCCTGTGATCCATTGGAAAAAGTAAAGCCAAAAAAGCTTTGGCAATGCTTCTCCTTTACGACATAGATCCCTTAGGAAAAGTGTAATTTTCAGTTCAAGAGCATGCTCTTAATCCTTAAGATATCAATACTGACCAACATCTTTGTTAAACACAGTGGATCTAACCGTATTCATTAATGACTTGCTTTGAACTTGCTTAGAACAAGCAGCATAACAGCATATATTACTCTGACAACATTGTTCTATTTCCCGTGCCAGAAACAAAGTTTCTATGAAATGTGAAATTTTGTATTTACGTAGAGCAGACATGTGGGTGTATTTATTAAGTGAAAGAACTACAGCAAAATACAATGCCCATAGAAATCAAACTGAAACCTATGTTTTTATTGTATAGGGTTTATTGTCACAGAATGGAAGGACATTTATTTGGTGCTACAGTCATAGCCAAAAATATTGGCACCCCTGTATTTCTCAGATAATGCACCACTTTGCCCAGAAAATTATTTATATTGGTATAACACAAAAAAGTGGAGAAGCAAAAAGCCAAATCTGACACATTCCATGCAAAACCCCAAAAATAGACTGGACAAAACTATTGGCACCTTCTCAAAATTGTAACAAATAACTGCATTCCAAGTTTGTGATGCTCCTGTAATTTGTAATTAAACGCTTCCCCACCGCCCTATAGCATAAATACTGCTACAAGGCAGCAGGGCTGTGAAAAATCACGTGTGCCATACGTCATCTTGCATTTCTGGGTGAGGGGGGGGTGTGAGCGTGCCCTACCCGCACCGCCATTGGCAGCTTCAGCTGTTGATCACTGGGTCCTGGAAGGTGATTCCCCACCAGCAACCGGCGATCGCCGATTATCACTGAAAGAGTAGAGAACTGTATGTAAATAATATAGATCTCTCCCGTCAGCTCCTGCACATTGCTTTGTATGGCTCTGCATTGCAAAGCCATACAAAGCAATTTGCTGACACAGTAAAGCACACACACACAGCACACTGTAAAACAGCACAAAGTTAACCCTTTGAGCGCCCCAGATGTTAACCCCTTCCTGCCCAGTGCCATTATTACAGTGTCAGTGCTTTTAATTAGCACTGATCACTGTATTAGTTCACTGGAGATGTCAGTGACAGTCAGTTCCCCCCCCCAGTGTCAGAATGCCCGTCGCAGTCCTGCTATAAGTCGCTGATCGCTGCCATTACTAGTATAAAAAAAAAATTCCAGTATTTATACCGCCATTTGTAGACGCTATAATTTTCACGTAAACCAATTCATTTACACGTATTGGGATTCTTTTTTGCAAAGACATGTAGCAGAATATATTTTGGCCTAAATTTATGACGAAATTTAGATTTTTTACATTTTTTTACTGGACTTAATAGCAAAAAGTAAAAAATATAGTTTTTTTTCTCAAAATTGTCAGTGTCTTTTTGTTCATAGCGCAAAAAAAATAAAGAATGCACAGGCGATCAAATACCACCGAAAGAAAGAAAGCTCGATTTGTGGGAAAAAAATGTCATTTGGGTGCAGTGTTGCATGACCGCGCAATTGTCAGTTAAAGTAACGCAGCACCGTATCACGAAAAATGGTCTGGTCAGCAAGAGGGGTAAATCCTCTGGAGGGCAAGTGATTAAACTCCACTGTATCAATTTACAGGTGCTAACAATATAGAAATCACACCAGCAACCAGTTACAATGGTGAAAAAATTGACTCAACCTTTCTGTTGTGTGTCTCTGTGTGCCACATGGAGCATGGATAAGAGAAAGAGCTGGGGAGTTGCGAACAAAAATTGTAGAAAAGCATGGACAATCTCCAGGTTACAAGTCCATCTCCAGAAATGTTAACGTTCCTGTGTCCACTGTGTGCAACATTGTCAAGAAGTTTACAGCCCATGGCACTGTAGCTAATCTCCCTGGACATGGACGGAAGAGAAAAATTTATCAAAAGATTGCAACGAAGGATTGTTCAAATGGTGGCTTAAGAACCTCAATCAACTTCCAGACAAATTCAAGCTGACCTTCAGGCACAGGGTACAACTGTGTCAGCTCCCACTATACGTCGCCATCTGAATAAAAAGGGATGCTATGGTAGGAGACCCAGGAGGATCCCACTGCTGACACAGAAACATAAAAAGCCAGATTGGAGTTTGACAAAACTTACCTGAGGAAGCCAAAATCTTTTTGGGAGAATGTGTTCTGGACAGACGAAAGAAAGTTACAGTTTTTTGGTAAAGCCCATCATTCTACAGTACTGTTTTCAGAAAAAGCAATAAGGCCTTTAAAGAAAAGAATACAGTCCCTACAGTCAAACATGGTAGAGGTTCACTGATGTTTTGGGGTTGCTTTGCTGCTTTAGGCACTGGATATCTTGATTGTGTGCATGGCACTATGAAATTTGAAGACTATTAAAATAATTCTGGGTGCAATGTAGAGCCCAGTGTCAGAAAGTTGGGTGCCCGTCAGAGGTCATGGGTCTTACAGCAGGACAATGACCCAAAGCACACGTCAAAAAGCACCCAGAAACAGTTTCATACAAAGTGATGGAGAGTACTGAACTGGCCAGCAATGAGTTCAGATCTCAATTCTATAGAGCACCTGTGGAGACATCTCAAAACAGCAGTTGGGAAAAGGAACCCATCCAATCCGAGAGACCTGGAGCAGTTGGCGAAAGAAAAGTGGTCCAAAATTCCATTAGAAAGGTACAAAAAACTCACTGATGGTTACAGGAAGCGATTTCAGATATTTTTCCAAGGGGGGTGTGCTACCAAATATTAAATTGAGGGTGTCAATTTTGTCCAGTCCATTTTTGGGGTTTTGCGTGGAATGTGTCAGATTTGGCTTTTTGTTTCTCCACTTTTTGGTGTCATACCAATACAAACAAAAGAAACATGAGAATGCCTAAACATTTGTAATTACAACAATTTTCTGGGAGAAGTGGTGCATTATCTGACAGAAGTGCAGGGGTGCCAATATTTTTGGCCGTGACCGTATGGATAAATAGAATAAGGGAGAGATATAAAAGGAAAAAAGCAAAAGCATACAAGATTATGCACTAAAAGTACCTCAATAGAAAACATGATTTCACAAATACTCCTCAGAAAAATAAGCTTCTGATGAAATTAAGCATGCCTTCAAACTTTCATCAACTCATTAGATCCTCAATCCTTTTTCTAAAATGACTTAGACCATAACCTTCAAATGAACTCTGTGGAATTATTAATAAAATAATCTTAAGTGCGAAGTAACCTACCAAGCAGAAGAGCAGCAGTGGGGATTTCACTAGATCTCACTCTACAACTCCAACCATTTCTTTCATCATGAAAAGCTAGGTGTGACTTCTTCAGAAAAGATATTAAGTTGTCAAAAAGTTTTCTGTTGAGTTCTTCTTGAAGTTGCTGGATGAAATAAAATATCAAGTTATTTAGCTTTCTAGGCCAGAGAAGATCTTTATCCACTATTAGATTCTATGAGTTAAAAATAAATTTAACCACTTGAGTCCCAGCACCTTTAGGGCTAGATGCAGTACAGTGCTTTTTTTTTTCTGCATCAAAAATGCATGCACACTGTTTTTGATGTATTCCAATGGCCCTAGTTTACACCAGTGCAGTCAGTTCCAGTCAGTTTCTGCTGCAGGAAAAAAAAAAAAAAAGTAGAACATGGTGCATTTTTTCTGCATAGAACCATACTGGAACATGGCAAACTGCATAAAAACTGCACCGAAACTGCATGTGGTGTGAACTGTAAGCAAAAAGGTATCCGGAATGCATCTGGAGAGAGTTTTGGAAGTGTGAACTGGCCCTGAATCTATGTAAACCCCCATGAGTTACAAGGCTTTTTTTTTCAGGTTTTGGACATGTGATAGTTTTGTTTTACAATTGCTGTTTTGTTTTGCAGTCAACCTAGCGCTAGCCAATCTTGATACTGTTTTTTGAGGACAGACATAACTTGTTTTCGGTGCTATATTTTAAATTATATACTTTGTTTTTAGAAATGAGAAAAAAAATTTATGAAAATTATTTTTAAAAAGGGAGATTTTCTGTTGATTTTGACCACATACTGTAAAACATGTAGAAGACAAATCAGTGTTTTTTTTCTGAACTATTTTTTTTAATTTTTCTGGAATCATGTAACACTAAGTTTGCCTGTTTTCCCAAGTTATATGAAAAATATATGGTGTATATACTATTAGTTTAAAGTATAACTAAAGGCAAAACTTTTTTTTTTTTAAGTTTTGTATAGAGTGCAGAGGAATGTGAACTTCAGTTTTTATTGCTGTCTGTGTCCCCATTAAAGAGATACAACCACTCAATTTGTCCTATTTACCATTATCATTGAAAGTAAAAGAAAATCCCAAATTTTGAGTTGTCCCCAGAAATGTAATAAATGAGAAATCTTCCAATGTGGACACTAGTTCTGGTGACCTGGGAGTCCCGGAATTCCCTTAATTTGCAGGGATTTCTCATTTCCTGTTTGGCTATGGGACAGGAATTGAAGGTTTAGACTTGTGAATGTTTTCTGTGTTGTGAATGTTTGTATTGAACAGTTTTATTTTAAAAATAGTTGAAATTAAAGCAAAAATTTAAAAAAATTAAAAAAAAGGTAAAAGTACACAAAAATGTAAAATTTGTTTCAAGTGTGTTTTTTTTTTCAAACTCTTATGTATACAAGTAAGTAGGTAATAATGCTATAAAATACTTATATACTACTATTTCTAAACACGAGAACTCCCTTGGTGGGAACATGGCAAGGTTCAGAAACAAGGAAGCGCATTTTGGCACTCAGTGACTTAAAACTGGCATTTTTTTTTGTATCAAACGGCATTTACAGAGGCTCAGGAAAGGCAGGACCGCAGAAATTAGGAAAAAAATATAAATACAAATTTGTTTTAACAAAAGCGTAAATTCAAATGACCGGTTTCTCAAACAGTGATGGCATGGTAAAAAAACTGCAACCAGAAAAAATGTTCAGCTACCTCTCCTGTGCACAAGGATACCATATACATATCCTTAATCATTTGGGGAGAACATGGTAAAGCCCAGAAAGGACTACATTCTGTCAATGGCTGAAAATAGCCATGTCCGTGTCTTGGCACCCTATTGCATTTCGTGTTGCTCAGAACCTACAGGACCCCATTGTGACCATGTCTCAGTACCGCCAACTATATCTTTTAGGTTTTGCAGTCTATCCTAAAGAATGATGCATCTCAGGGAACACCATGGACCTTGTTTTCTCTCATCTTTGCATCCCCCCCACAACCTCACAAACACCCCCTTCCCTCTCTCTGACCACAACCTCATTACATTCTCCGTCTCCCCGTCCGCAAACAACCCCCCCCCCCCCCAAACGTCAAACCATCACGAGCCATAACCTCCGCAACCTGAACCCTGCCCCTCTCCACTCTGCAGCTGACCGACTTTACGACAGTATCCTTCCACTGTCCTGCCCTGACCTGGCCACTACTGCTTGTAATAACTCGCTGTCAACCGCCTAGACTCCTTAGCACCCCTAACCACACGTAGCATTAGACCCCGACCGCTTCAACCCTGGCAGAACGACCACACCAAAAATCTTAAACGACGCAGTCGTGCACTGGAGCGACTATGGCGCAAAACCAGATCCCCTCAAGCGTTCATCCTTTACAAATCCGCCTTCCTCACCTACACCTCCTCCCTTCACGCTGCCAAACAAGCCTACTTCGTAACCCTCATCAATACCCTCTCCTCCAGTCCTCGCCGCCGCTCTTCTCCACCTTTAACTCCCTACTCTCTCCCCCCCACCTCCACCCAGTACCTCACTCACCGCCCACGAGATTGCTAACCACTTCCAAAACAAGATTCGTAAGGACATCGCCAATGCTCAATCTTCCACCCCACCTAGCCTCCCTCCCACGATAAAACCCTCAACACTCCCCCTCCTCTGACCTCGCAACTGCCCTGACCCCCACCACACCTAACATCCCGCACACTAAAACCCCCCCAACACTCCACTCCTTCGGCCTTGCTACCACTGAAAAGGTCACTAAGGTCTTCTCAGAAGCCTCACCACCTGCCCCCTTGACCCTGTCCCCGCACAATTCCTCCGGTCACCCTCCTCCTCCATCCTAAGCTCCCTCACCCACATCTTCAATCTCTCCCTCTCTACTGGCATATTCCCCTCCCCCCTAAAGCACGCGCATATCACTCCCATACTCAAAAAACCCTCCCTGGACCCCACCGACCTGAACAACCTTAGACCCATCTCCCTGCTGCCATTTACATCCAAACTCCTCGAGCGCTTAGTCTATAATCGCCTAAGCTCCCACCTCAACGACAACAACATCCTTGATCCCGTACAGTCTGGCTTCCGTCCCCTACACTCCATCAAAACCGCCCTACTCAAAATCACCAAAGCTAATGGCCGCTATTCAGTCCTCCTACTCCTCGACCTCTCCGCGGCCTTCCACACGTTGACCACCCCCTCCTCCTTAAAAACTACACTACACTCCCTTGGCATCAGAGACTCCGCTCTCTCCTGGCTCTCCTCCTATCTATCCCAGCGCTCCTTCAGTGTTACCTATAACGCTGCCACCTCCCCCTCTCTCCCCCTCTCTGTTGGGGTACCCCAAGGCTCTGTCCTCGGCCCCTCCTCTTCTCCATCTACACCTCCTCCTTTGGCCAACTGATACACTCCCACGCAAATCTACTGCTCTACCCTTCGCCTCACCACTTCAGTCTCCGCCCGCATCACCTGCCTACTGAACGACATAGCAGACTGGATGTCACTCCACTTCCTCAAATTAAACCTTTCCAAAACCAAGCTCCTAGTTCTCCCCCCAGCCTGCGCCCCCCCATCCTCTCCATCACGACCAATAACGCCACCATCAGTCCCACCCCGCAAGCCAGAGTCCTAGGTGTCACACTAGACTCCAATCTGTCCTTCCAACCCCATTTCCAATCACTGGCAAATTCATGCAGGCTCCACCTCCGCAACATCTCCAAAATACAATCGTTCCTAACCCCAGACACTACTAAACAACTCATTCACTCCCTTATTACTTCACGACTCGACTATTGCAACTCCCTCCTCACCGGCTTACCTCATCACAGACTATCCCCGCTTCAGTCTATCCAGAACTCAGCGGCCAGACTCATCCACCTTACCAGCCGCTCCGTATCTGCCACCCACCTCTGTCATTCCCTCCACTGGCTTCCGATTGCCCAACGCATAAAATTCAAACTACTAACATTGACGTACAAAGCCATTCATAACACTGCCCCAAACTACCTCACTGACCTGATACCCAAATACCACCCAACCCGTACTCTACCCTGTTCACAAGACCTCCTACTTTCTAGCTCCCTGGTCTCCTCCCATGCCCAACTGCAGGACTTCTCCAGGACTTCCCCCATCCTCTGGAACTCACTACCCCAATCCATCAGACTGTCACCTACCCTCCTCACCTTTAGGCCCACCCTGAAAACCCATCTCTTCAGGGAAGCCTACCCCGCCCTCACCTAACAGCCGATCTCCTCCACTACCCCTACCACTCCATCCCCCACAGCCACTTCCTCCTGTACCACTATCCCCTCCCTGCTAGATTGTAAGCTCCAAAGAGCAGGGCCCTCGAACCCTTCATGTATTGTATTTTTACTGTATTGTCTCATGTACTGTCCCCCACTACAATGTACAGCGCTGAGCAAACTTTTTGGCGCTATATAAATACTGTATAATAATAATAATCTCTTTTTTTGGACAAATAGGGCAAATTTTGGTTACATAATGTATATTTTTCTTTTTAAGTGTGAATCAATGTTTATATAATTTGTGCATCTATGAATTCACCCCAAAATATAATCAACAAAGTCTGCTAATTTAACTGATATAACACTAGTGTGACTTTCATGTAGCAGAAGGGTAACATTGTATACCAGAGTGTTTTTCCATTTTGGAGAGGTCTACCCTATTGTTTTATAAACATCATTTTTTTCACGACAGATGGGGCTTTAATTTGGTAGCTAACGTGGATTCATATATTTTTATTTTCTTGGGTTTTATTGAGAACAGCTGTACAACTGGAAAATTAAGTGATTAAAAAAAAACAAAAAAAAATCTGGTGCGTTATGGGTTGTTAAGCACCCATGGTGAAAATATCAAAATGTGCCCCCCTCCTCCCATTAGCTTTGAACTATGTTAGCAGTATAAGTTGCATGTTCTGGCCTTATTGCACCCCTGTCTCCTGCTGAAGTGTCCAAGGCGGCCTCTTCTTCTGCCTACCCCTTGGCCTGATCATCAGTTGAAACACTGGTCCCAAGCAGAGATTTGCTTTTCTTTATTTTAAAAGCCCCTCCATATCACACTAAACAAAACATAAAAGCGCAGTGATATCACTGAAAAACCACAAGGTAACCTCTTGGTACTCCCATTATT